AAATTGCCACATTGTAGGTTAAAAAAAAGGTTTCAATAATGCCAATTTCGTATGTTTTAAGCTCATAGTTCTGGAAATAGTCTCAAGGCTGAAGTTCACTGATTTCCTACCCAATCCTAAACCAATTATTGGGACCACTAGAATTCAGTTCTTTTACTGACCAATCCTGAGTCATTTGTCAACCCACACACCCATGTAGACAAAAAATGACATAGAGCTACTTTCTATCAACAGAAAAGGTAATGTGTGTGTGTGTGTGGGCGGGGGGGTGCTGTGGCATAGCAGGTTAAACCTAGGCTTGGGATGCTGGCATTTCATTTGGCGCTGATTTGAGACCCAGCTGCTCCATTTCAGATCCAGCTCCTTGCTCATGCATGTGAGAAAGCAGTGGAGGATGGCCCAAGTGCTTGGTCCCCTGCATTTACATGGGAGACCTGGAAGAAACTCCAGGCTCCCCGCTTTAGCCTGTGCCAGCCTTGGTATTGTGGCCATTTAGGGAGTGAACCAATGGATAGAACATCTCTCCGTCACTCTGTCTCTCTTCCTCTTTCTATAACTCTGCCTTTCAAATAGATTTTTAATATTTAAAAAAAAAAAAAAACAGAAAAGGGGGCCAGTGCCGTGGCTCACTAGGCTAATCCTCCACCTGTGGTGCCGGTGCCCCAGGTTCTAGTCCCGGTTGGGGCACCGGTTCTGTCCCAGTTGCTCCTCTTCTAGTCCAGCTCTCTGCTGTGGCCCGGGAAGGCAGTGGAGGATGGCCCAAGTGCTTGGTCCCTGCACCCCATGGGAGACCAGGAGAAGCACCTGGCTCCTGGCTTCGGATCAGCGCAGTGCGTTGGCCGTGGTGGCCATTTAGGGGGTGAACCAACGGAAAAAAGGAACCTTTCTCTCTGTCTCTCTCTCTCACTGTCTAACTCTGCCTGTCAAAAAAAAAAAAAAAAAAAAAAAAACCTGAGCAAGAAACACAGTAAATTCTGACTATGCATGTGAGAAACAACAGAGGTAGAAATGTCCTAGGAAGGTAATGAAGCCAAAACTCCAGGGTACATCACTTGCATGGGCTCCTTCTAAGACCAGGTATCTAATTGTGCATGTACATTTTAAAAATCATTTTTCTTAAGTAAAAACACTAGTGAAATAATAAATTTCCCAACATACTTTACTCTTGCTTGCTTTTAGTGTGAAGAAAACATTTATTAAGTAATTTATTCACTGACTTCTTCCCAATAATTTAATCTCTTACAGTTTGGCACTAATGAAACATAACTTGGTCACTCAGTTCAGAATGCTCAGCTAGCTTCTAGAATCCAGTATTTTAATGTCTTTTTCCCTGCCCCTGCCTCTGTCACAGACGCACTCCAAGATGGTATTTTCATTTTTTCACCTCCTTGAACCTCACTCGCAGATGAACTCTGACTCCCAATATCTCCTTCCAATGAGAGGTCAGCCATGACCGAAGTGTTCGTCTTGGAGTTCCATTGTGATTGCACCTAAGTACCAATTTGAGGAAGCTTAGTTTCCTATTCACTCTAAACTGATCTTCTCTGATATGCTTTGATTTTAAAATTCCAAATCAAAATAAGTTCTCTAAAACTAGCAAAGAGAGAACATGAAGTGTAAAGCATAGTTTATATTGGGTTGAATCTAGAATGTGATTCTTTCGACTCTTGTCAAACCTATACACCTCTAGGGCACCTACTGCCAAGGATGTGCCAACATTGGGTCTAGGTAAACCAGAAAACGTGTCCTTGCTATCGAGATTTCCAACTGCACTTTACCCTTCTGCTTGGCAGTCAGACAGCCCCAGAAATGTAAATTCATGCCATTTTGAATGTGGGGGAAGGTGAGGGAGCTAAGCCTGCCTGCTGCTATTCTGATTACAGCATTTGTCACTTGCAGAGACAGCTCTGGAATTGATGCCATTTTTCCCCAGCTCAAGAAAGTGGCTTGGGTGGTGAATCAGGGGGGCCAAGGGGCACCTACAAATGGCAATTTCCACCTCACCTCTCAGCAGGTGTCCTAGGCTACAGTCCTGCACATGAGGCCTTGCATTTGCCCCATGGATTCCTCCTTCCTGCACTTCAGTTTCTGCAAGAAATACAGCATAGAAGCAGGGCAGTGCTATCGTGTAGCCTTTTTTTTCTTTTAATTTGTTGAAATTGTCTCTAGGCAGAAGAAGGGAGATAGAAACCAGATGGTTGTAGCTGGAGTAGACCTGCAACTGAGAAGCTCAAAGATGCTCAAATCTGGTGGGAGTCACTATTTTCTTGCAGGGTAAGGGGAGCAGATAACAGAGTAGTTAATCTGCAGCCCTGAGCTCTCCAGCCTATGTCCACATACACAGAAAAGACAGCCCCTTTTCTCTGCATGCTCCAAAGCACCACCCAACAAGGGCCATCATGGACTTTTCTTGAAGGTGTGGCAGGGTGATGGGAGTAAGTTAGTGATCACAAAAGGAGTTTACATCACAGCTCTTAAACAGTTCGCGAATGAGTGTCATCCATCTTCCTTGAAAACTCCTTAACCTCTTGTTGGCTTCCTCTTTACCATTCCCACTTCTTCACCCTCCCAGCCTCTCCTCCCTACGCTGCCTCTCAATCTTTCGTGAAGTCTAATCAGCCTATCCTCTGGATCTCCGCATTCTGTACCCATGGATTCAGCCAGCCCCAGGAGCAAAAGTCTGTACTTCTTCGTCCTTCGTGTCATTAGTCCCTAAATGATACAGTTGAACAAGATTTTACATAGCATTTGCATTGTATTAAGTGATCTAGAGCTGATTTAAAATATACAGGAAGATGTGCATGGGTTATATGAAGGTACTTCAAAAGGTTATGGAGAAATGGAATTAAAAGATGAGTCAGGGGCAGGCATTGGTGCAGCATTTAAGATACTGAAACTTAATTGGGACACCTGCATCTCTCATCAGACTACCTGGGTTCAAATCCCAGCTCTGCTTCTGATTCCAGCTTCCGGTCAATGCACACCCTGGGAGGCAGCAGGTGATGGCTCAAGTACTTGAGTCCCTGCCACCCACATGGGAGACCCAGATTGAGTTTCTGGTTTCTGGCATTCGCAGGGCCCAGGCCCGGCTGTTTTGAGCATTTAGGGAGTAAACCAGTGGATAAAAAATCGCTCTATCTCTGTCTCTCTTTGATATAAATTTTTAAAAAATTAAATAGCAACTAATTTTTTAAGTGGCAAATTTATTTGGGTGCAGAGATTTAAAACCCATGTATAGATTTTTCATAATACACATTCCAACTTTTTGAAGACCTTTGTATGCAAATACTACACCATTTTAAGTAAGGGACTTGAATATCTTCAGATTTTGATATCAGCAGGGCCTGGAACCCAGCCCCCAGGATACTGAGGGACAATTGCACTATGCAAATGCAACTGAAAGTCCATTTAGAGGTCCACCTGTTAGGCTCACTCCCAGGCAAGTACACAGTGTCTTTCCCAGCGCTACTTCTCCAACTCTGGCTAAGGGCTCAGTCCCACAAGAATGTGCTTTGGATCCTCAGAGGCTGGTTGCAAGTGTTGGCTTCCAGGTTACCCATTCTTCTGTCCAATATGGCTACAGATTCAGAGGTCCCCATAATTTCCCTCTCAAGGTCAATGAAATTCGCCAGAATTACTTGTGGAACTCAGGAAGCTGCTTTACTTATTATTACTAGTTTATGTTAAAAGATACAACTCAGAAACAGACAAATGGAAGACATAGGAGCGGGAAATGGAGCTCCCATGTCCTCCCTGGATGTGCCACCCTTCCAGCACTAGCTGTCTTTTCTAACTCAGAAGCTCACAAACTCTGCCATCATTTGGGTTTTTTTAAGGAGGCTTTTTTTTTTTATGTAGGCATGATTGGTTCAAGAATTGGTCATTAGTGATTAACTCAATAATTAACTCCTCTCCCTTCCCCCAAGTTTCAAACTTCAAGGGACAAGATTCTCCTATAACCTTCACCACTCTGGTAATTTTCAAAGGTTTTAGGAGCTCAGTGCTAGAAACTGGGGCCAAAGACCAAATCTCTCTTATCATACCATGCCACCTAACATGGTTACCGATCTTATTAAAATAAAAAATTCTAGAGCTACCGCCTTAGGGTGTCAGCCTTCCTGGTTCTTTGTAGCTCTCCCTTTCTGTGAACTCTTAAGAGATTGACCAGGAACCTCTGGTTTGCTCAGCAGGATTTCAACACACAACCAGTGGGTCAGTAGCGTGCTCCTTTCTCTCTTGGGAACAAGCATTCTCACAGCACTGCAGTTGAAGGCCCACCCCCCTCCCTCTTCCTCTCAGAAGGACCTTAGGATATCAGTGGGATGGCTTAACTTCAATGACCAAAGACCACACCCCACCCTTGTCATGTAGGCATCCTCTGCTTTCTTGGGCCACCTCCAATGAGTGGTCTCAGGGTTCCTGATGTCCCATAAGAAATGGGACAAAGGAGGAGAGGACCCTTCTGAGACCCCAGGGAGCTCTGTTGGCTCTTCCTTGTTCAAGTCTCTAGTAGGACACTCTCGGAGCGGGATCCTGAGATCCTACAATGCAAGACCAAGAGCATTACTGGGTGAAATTGGAGAGGGCTGAGGATCAGGTGGAGTGACTGCCTCTGTCCTCCGGGATCCCACTGCCCCACCCCATTTACAAAGACAAAACCAAAACCAAAACCAAAACAAGCCTGGGCAGCAAAGCTTTCCTGTTGTGTTACCTAGAGGTCTTGCTTTTGAAGCAAAAACCCCACTCCCTCCTGTAGCCCAGTCTCATCTTCAGAGAGTAAGGGCCTGGAGCCCACACGGGTTTATTTGAAATCTGTGTTTAGGTCCCAGCGTGTGGCAAAGTGCTCCGCTCTGATGACACTTTTCGCTTCTAATAATAGAGCAGATGAAGTAATATTGCAATTGATGTTCCTGGGGATTTGATTGGATAAGTGCATCAACTGTGGAGGGGGAAGGGGGTTGCATGGACGGATCACATTAGTATTCCCATCCTATCAATGTGCGGGGCCGCGAGCCACGTCAGCCAGACCGAGTCCCTGCGTCTGCCAGTCCCGCCACGGATTCATTTGGGATCCTCAAACCGACGAGCCGGCAGAGACGAGGGATCCATTAGCCGATTGGAGCCAATTGCCTGCTTCGGGGACGGCCAGCCCTTCCAGGCCTGGTGACAGTGGAGGGAGGGGGAAAAGGCAAGCGAGTGCCGCTGCGGGAAGGCACTGAAGCAGGAGCGACGTCCCCTCCCGCCCCCCGCCTTGCAGCGCAGGCTTTGAACGCGGCTCCCCCATCTGAATGGAAACTCCGAGCCTCCGGGCGGCGCGTTCCTTCTGGCCCAGCCTTGCGATCCTTGCGGAGAGGCGGGCGGTGCGCGCCAGCGCCAGCGCCCAGCTCCCGGGACAGGGCCGGCGATGCTGCTGAACAGAACTTGATCGCGCCCCTTCCTCGCTGCTAGTGGAAGCGATGCTGCACTGCACAGCCGGCGCTTCCCCGGCTCTCCTTCAAGCTGAAGGTTACCCGCCCGCACAGCCAGCCCCTAGCCTGTGAGCGGCGCGCCTCGGGTCCCAGCTCCCGCTGCTTGGCGGCAGCGCGCAGGGCAAAGACCGGGCCGCCCGCGCCGGGGCGCACTGCACCAGCGGCTTCGGCTTGGTGGATGTGTATGCATGAGTTCTGCACCGAATGGGCGCAAAAAGCGCCCCAGCCGGTCCACCCGCTCCTCAATCTTCCAGATCAGCAAGCCCCCGCTGCAGAGCGGGGATTGGGAGCGCAGGGGCAGCGGCTCCGAGAGCGCCCACAAAACCCAACGAACCCTGGACGACTGCAAGATGGTGGGTGAAAAACTGCGCCTCTGGGCTTTTTTTAGAGGGGGTGGGGGAGTCGAGCATGTGAATCGTTTGCCTGGGTGCCAGCCACTCCCCCACCCTCCGCGCCTCCATGCCGATCACGTGCCCATGCACTATTTTTAAATCAGCAGTCCCCCACATTCGGGGTGACACCGGGGTCGTGCATGGATGGCCTCGCTCAGAGAAGTGCCATGGCAAGGGGCTTGGGGGTCAGCGGCTGTAGGTGGTGCCTCTACCCCCGCCAAGAATGGTGGATTGCAAAGACAGGGTGAACGGGCTCGCTCACCGGGGAGGGAGGGCTTGGGCAGTGGGGATGCTGCTTTGTGGGGAGACGGCAGCCACCAAACCCAAACAGAGCGCACGCGGCGCTGCAGAGGGGACGAAGGTTCCAGCGCCGAGGCCGTGGCCGGTCTTCCTGTCACGCTCCCCGAGCGAGCCGGAGAGGGGCAGCGGCCAGGCAGGAGGTGAATGTCTTTTTCCTCACGCTCTACCTTTGGTCTGTTCCCCGTGCAACTTCAAATCCATTTCCTTCCCAGCAGTAGCAGAGGGGAGCGGCTACGCCACAGTCCCCAGCATCGCTCTCTATTGACCTGGGAGTAACAGGGTAGCTCTCTAAATAGGCTCTGGCTTTTCAGAAACTCAGTCTGAACCGGTGGGGGCAAATTGAACTGGAAACAGACCTCGAACGGCCAGGCTCGCCTAGGAAAAATAGGCACTTGCCTTGGACAAAGAGACTTGCCGGCTCTGTGCCTTAAGCTTTAACCAATTCAGGGACTCCTTAGCGGGAGATCTGGGGAGCGCAGGCTCACGGGTGGGTGAAGGCTGGTGAAGGCTCCCAGCTAGGTTCACCGAGGTGGGAAACTTTCCATGATGGGTTTGATGAAAGGAACTCGCTTCTTTTCCAGCTTGTCCAAGAGTTCAACACGCAAGTGGCCCTGTTCCGAGAGCTGGTCATCTCCATTGGGGATGTCTCGGTCAGCTGCCCCTCACTCCGGGCAGAAATGCACAAGACGAGAACTAAAGGCTGTGAAATGGCCCGTCAGGCACACCAAAAACTGGCTGCCATCTCAGGGTAGGAGGTTTTTGGCATTGTTTGGTAATCCGTATGCGGGATGCGTGAATGTGGAGTGAACGGTCTGGTTTCCAAGTCCTCAGAAAATGATCTCTGGCCAGGGTGAGGTTTGTAACCAGTCACCCTGAGGTCGAGGGTCTTCGGAGTGCTACTTGCGAACTTCAGTAATCTGAAGACTGCGATTTTCATTTATAAATATGGACAATTTTGGTCACTAAGTGATGGCTTTTAAATTAATTAGCAATCTGCTGACCACATACTGGAATCGGGGGCTTAAGATTTTTCAGGGGCCACTGTTTGAGCATAAACTGAAGTTATTAAATCATCATGCCTCAAGATGACTTTCTCATCTGCCGCTGAACAAAAGGCCCTTGCTGTAGAGAGAAAATCTTTGCTAAATCCCAGATTTACCAAACTATTTATACCATGGGATAAATTCCTAGGACGCTGCTTAAAATAAAATCCCTAAAATACAATCTTGGATATAAATTATTCTCTTTACTGTAGCGATATGAAAGGGAAGTTTTACCAGAAGAAAAGTTTTTATACATTAGAGAAATTCCCAAATTGAAGTAAACTTAAATCACTTTTGCTCCCCAAATTTTTGCTCATTTTTACCACTTGTGTAGACTCCCAAGCCTATGTTAGGTGGTAATACAATGAGTGAAAATGTCTCTCCTGAGACCCCATGCACTGCTTAGATTTTCATTATTGAGAGCAAAGCCAAGGATTTGGTTAACAGTTCCTATTTTCAAGATAAGTACTTAGAGCAAGGAAATGCAGGAATCCTTGTACAAATCCCTTAAGTACTTGGCTCAGTCTGGATATAGCCTTTTTCTGTTTATCTGCATGTGTATAGCTTTACCCAAATAGAAGTTCAGATTAGCCATACATACCTGAAGATGATGTGGACTGATTGATCCCTTATAGGAAATATATCTGATTAACCTATGTGAAAGAATTGATCTTCACCATCTGTGATGCCAAGAATATGTACAGTGACTATTAGTGGTAAATAAAGATTAGAAAGCCACATGTCACCTCTCTTAATAACTAGCTTATATTTGACAACAGGCATTTTATGACATTAAAAGATAACTCCATGTTAATCTCTTCTAGATGAGGGATTAACAAAATATGGTTTTTTTTAATTTAGCAGAGATATTGAGAAGCCTTATCCCTTTTGTTTTAACCGTTATAGTTAACAGGAAATGAATTTAGGAACAGGGTACTGAGAGGGGAAAGAGGTTACTAACTGCTTTGGGAACTTGTGGGGGAGGGGGATGCAGCTGTGACAAATCCCCAGACAAGGAGGTGGAAAAAATAGCCAGGAACATGAAGGGGACTGGTGGTGAATTAAAGGGTAGGAAAACAATTGTTCAGGAATGGAAGGCACAGTTGGGACAGGGAATGTTAGCTCAGGGCTAAGGAGTAGCATATTTGTAAACCCTGGGTCCAAGTGTGTACAACAAGGTAACATCCAGGGTCGCTTCAGGCTGGAATATGGAATGAGGACCTGTTCAAGACAAAGAGGGTGGACTGGAAGAATGAAGGAGAGAGTTGTTCATCTAGTTGGCTGCATGCATTCTTCTACTGGGGTAGGAAAGAAAGAAAGCATCTGAAACTCTTGACCAAAAGTTGAGTTTTGAGGATTTCCCGTGGGTTTTATTTGCTCTGGACTTTGTAGCCCTCTGCTGCTTGCTTACATATTATCTGGGGGTTGCTGTTAAGGTAGGCAGTTTTGTTAGAATGAGTGGGGATATAGGGCACTACAAAGGTAAGGTCCACATATAAAATGTTCTAGGATAGAATTGGACACATTCTTCCCTCTTAAAAATAATCGAATGCAATTTAACGTTCTTTATAACAAATGACAGCAATATAATTGGAGGAAATCCCTTTAGTTCCTCACCATCTGGGCTCCATTAATGAAGGATGCGATTCCCTTTGGCGGAATTCCGTTTCGGATGTTGCTTCTGATGTGGATTCTCATTTCAGCCTTGATGTTGGGAGGCTGGAGGATTCACTTTCAAGTTTGAGGCAAGGGGAAGAAAAGCAAAGTGTTTTTGGGAAATGTAGACAGAAGGACTGCTTTTTTTTTTTTTTTTTTTGAGTGCCTACTATTTGCTGTCACAATCCAGTTAATTCACAGGCTAGTCCTCTGAGAGAGGAATTAGCATTCTTATTCTACAGATGAGTTTCAGCGAGATTGAGGAACTGGCCCAAAGTCATGCAGCCCAAAAGTGGCACAGCTTGGCTTCTGTCCCACCTTGGCGTGTTTCTGAAATCCATGCTCTTCCCGCTACATAATTCTGCCATTCAGAAAGGTGTTATGTAAAGAGGAACAAAGTGCTTGATATGTGCTAAAATATGGATGAACCTTAAAATGAGTATGTTAACTGAAAAACACCACATATCAAAGGATTCCACTTTTTCAAAATGCCCTGAAAAAGCAAAACGATAGTGATGGAATGATTAGTGGTTGTCTGGGGCTGGCTGTGGGAACAGGAAGTGACTGCAGATGAGATAAAGCATCTTTGTGGGGTGATGGAACCATTCCAGAATTGGACTTTGGTGATGGTTGTACAACTTTGAATACTGAATAGCTGTAAATGTACTTTCATAAATGTTTTGTCACAAGGTATTATCATCATCAGTATGATTAACACTGGGTCTTGTGTTGGCCTTATTCTTTTCTATGTGAATGCCTTTCCATGAAGGTACATAAGCAAGAGGAATGGGGGGAAATAGAACTTGGCTCTCCACATATTCCTCAAGACACTGCGTGACGGCTATCATCTAAGTATCAGTGCTTTGCTCTGTGCTGGAACGTGAATGGGGGAAAGGCAGGACTTGAAGAACTAAGGGAATGCACTAATTTCTCACCAGGGCAGACCACTCTTTCCTTGTCTACCAGCTGACTTCCAAGACAGAGGAGAGAGACAGGAATGAAGGTAGACAGGGTGAGAAAGGAAGAGAAAGGACAATGGGTTAGAATTCAGCCACAATTCTACATCCCTTTCATCCCTGACCAATGGAAGCCCTCAGGAAATGCTCATGATCACCAGAGAAGAAGCCAGGCTGTGTTTCTCCCTAACTGGCCGTCTTCACTGACACAATCAAAATCCTTTCTCAAATCGTGCTTAGATCTGCAGAAGTCCGAGTGCCGCCTCTTCCATGCATCAGATGTTTTCTGGACAGAGCCAACCAGGTGAACCTAAGATCTCCTCCATCTGATTTGCCAGTTATTCTGCCTTCACAATTCTGATCCCTTCTAGATATTAAAATTGAACAGGGATTTAAAGATCACTTGTGAGAGTGGTCCCCAAACTCCTCTTTTTTTAGCCATAAGCTCTCCCTTCAATCTAAATGTGGAAAGCGAAATTTATGAGGCAGGTCATGATGGCATCGTTGAGCACCATTTGTGTGTGTGTGTGTGTGTGTGCATGTGTCCTGCATTCATAACTGCATCACATCAGGGGCAGGTGGCAGTCTGGGCCCCGTCTCCTCAGACTTCCTGTGCAAAGTGAGCTCTGGCATACCTTCAAAGAATCCCTAGGGCCCCACGGCACTTCGGGTTTGAGAAGTCTCAGGACCAGAGGATCTAAGTGACTTTCAAGGCAACCTGGCAGAACATCCAGGAAGATTTTGGAGTCAGAGAGACCATCTGCCGTGTCCTTGGTGGGGTTAATTAACTCTGGATCTCCTTCATCTGTGACCTCTGGTGTAGTTGGGAGGATGAAGTAAGTGAGGTTTGGGAAGCAGGGACTGCACACCCAGCCTGAAGGGTACTTTCCTGGCGGGAGGCTGCCTTAAGACTGGAACCCTGGTCTCTTGCTCCCTGCTATAGTGCCTGTCCGATCAACTACACCACCTCATCAGAATGAAGAGAGAAGAGCATAGCACAAACAGGACATGTGACTCAGAGGAGCCAGTAAACCCCAGAGCTAGGTGTGATGGCTGGTGAACAAGGGTTAGGAGCCCCTTTCTGACTCACTTCTGTGGTGTCTGCGTTGGACTGAATCTTCCTTTTGTTCATTGCTGCTGCAGAGGGTCAAAGTAGTAGGATTTACTCCAGATATTAAAAATAAGGTTTAGATGTGGGCTTTTGGCACAGCAGGTAAGATGTCACTTGGGGTACCTATACCTCATGCTGGAATGCTTGGATTCAAGTCCTACCTCCATTCTCAATTTCAGCTTCCTGTTAATGCACACTCTGGGAGGCGGCAGGCAATGGCTCCTACATGGGTCCCTGACACCCACATAGGACACTTGGATTGAGTGCCAGGCACCTGACTTCAGTCTGGCCCAGCCCTGGCTATTGTGGTCACTTTGGGAATGCTGTAATGGATGGCAGATCTCTCTCTCTCTCTCTCTCTCTCTCCCTCCCTCCCTCTCTCCTTCTCTCTCTCTCTCTCTCCCTCCCTCCCTTTAAAATAAATACAAATTTTAAATGAAGTTTAAATATGTTAATAAGAGAGGAAGCTTAGTGTGATGGGAAAAAGCATTAATTCTAAATCAGATTAAATCTGGATAAAAATCTCGACTTTCCCACTTACTACAAACACGTGTGTGAACTGATATGAAAATTGCTTCATAGTGGTGTGTGGTAGTCTGGTACGTGGTTAAGTACAGAGACGAGGGTCAGACTGGCAGTGTTGCTATTCACAAGTACTGTGACCCTGGGTAAAAATATTGTTTTCCTCTGCCTCAGTTCCCTAATCCACCAAGTGGGGTTTATAAATAATGGAACCAAATCCCATGGCATTTTGAGGACCAAATACTTAGAAAATTGTCTAGCATATAGCAAATGCTATTTGGTGCAGGTTAGATTTGTATATTAAGACATTTACAATTCAGATTGTCTGGATATATTTGAAAATATTAAGCCATCAAATAGTCTTAAAACAAATTTTTGGCTGGGATAAATCTTTGTTTACCTTAGTTTGTTATATTTGAGGAATGTTCTAGATTGAAATTTCCCAGATGGTTGTCAAAAG